CACCTACAGAGAGCAACACAAAATCCAAAAAACTGATGCATCTTAACTAGTTTTCAAGAATTCCGAAATACTGCGGGTAGGGTAGGAGTATTCAGAGGAAAAATTCTGTAAGGTCTAGAGAGTAAGCAGCAATTTTGTAATGTCTACAGAATGAGCAAAATATCCTTATGGAAAGATAGAATTCCAGCTTTCCTGGAATCTTTTTTCCTCACTCTGTACATCTCCCAGAACTTCGCTTACATCTTCAATTACGAAGTGATCCTTGCATGAATTCCTGTCTTTCTCTTCTGAATTGCAGACCCATACCCTTCCCACAGTACGCTTCACTCTTGTACTGCTTACTGCTTACCTGGAGGAACACCGTGAAGAAAATCACAACTATGGTTGTGGTGATAAACATCTGCCTTGCCATAATCGTTGCCGGAATGGACATGGCCAAACCGAATGCGATTGCACCTCGAAGGCCTCCGTATGATAGGATGAGTTGATCAATCTGTAAAGCACATTTTTGAATTGGTCGAGAACGGACGAGTTTTCCTGCATTCCTGTAAGATAACCCATAAACCAGCCATGCTACTCAGAGCAAGAGCACTGCTATTTCGTTGCACACAACTCGTATACGCACCTTTGTGAACTTCTTGTGACGGAATTTGTTAAGGAAGAAGCATTGGGCTAATACACCTGAAAAAGAGCATAAATTATTGAAGATGTGAATGTTACCATTCAGTAAAATTAAAAAAGAAGTGGTCTGACGACAGCATACCGATTGTCCGGTAGAGAAGGCAAAATCCAACTGTGGCAACGACAAACGCCGTGTCCCAGTAGTGATTGGACGACATTGTTGAAAGTCCCAAAAACCTGAATAAAACCAAGTTTTCAAACATGATCGGAATTTCAATCACAAATCACTGTTTACTTGTCTTTGCTGTAGCTTCTCCAATTTTAAAACAGTTCGCTTGTATAGTTTGAATAAAAATTATACAGCCAATCCCACAAAGTTGGCGAGATATGCACAAAATTTCAACTTCGGACGAGACCCTAACCCGTTCGAGTCAAAGCAGTAGACAATTATGGTAGAATAAAAAAAATACTCTCAAAATTAGTTTATCTAATTGCGAGGAAGAAGCCCGGCAAAGCCATCAGAAGTATGAAGTTGAGCCGCAACGCGACCTGTGACAACACCTAGCATCACTAATTTGGAACCGATTTTTCTTGTTTATCACAGATATTTATGAGCAAACAGAAAACTTAAAAAATAAGTGAAGGCATATGAGAAAGCTCACATGAAAATCACCGTCTCAGACGATTGAGCCAACATTTTTACAAAGTATTTTACGGCATTCGCTGCTGTCGTGGTGATATTTCCTTTCACGTACTGTTTCATTGCCATTCCACACACAGCGATTCTGGAAATGAGCAAATTCCAGTGACGTCATACTAGAATGAAGTATTTGATGTTAAGCAATCCGCCAGACATAAGCTTTGAAGCGATCCTTCAATAAGTCATGCCTTCCACTTCATCCCGAATTGGAGACGTTTGAAAGCCTTTGTACATGAAGATCTTCAATTATAAGATGGGCTACGACCGCTATTTCTTTCTTTTCAAAACAACGTCAAAGTGAGCCTGTTAACTAATCCCCTTCCTGAATGGTTCAACCAGATTTGGATTTTCATAGTCATGGTAGGGGATGAAGCTTGGGCTTTTTCTCGAATTTTTCTCAATTTATTTTCTCCCAACTGAATACTGTAAGTTGCAATAGGTAAGGGCAAAAGTAACCAGAGCTCGTATACATAACTCACGCAATAATTGAAGATAGAGAAGTAATTTCAGCTGTAAGGTATGCCATATAAGGAATGACGAAAATANAGTCTTTGTACATGAAGATCTTCAATTATAAGATGGGCTACGGCCGCTATTTCTTTCTTTCCAAAACAACGCCAAAGTCAGCTGGTTAACTAATCTCCTTCTTGGATGGTTCAACCAGATTTGGATTTCCATAGTCATGGTAGGGGATGAAGCTTGGGCTTTTTCTCGCGCAATGAATTTTTCTCAATTTAATGTCTCCCAACTGAATGCTGTAAGTTGCAATAGGTAAGGGCCAAAAACCAGAGCTCGTATACATAACTCACGCAATAATTGAAGATAGAGAAGTAATTTCAGCTGTAAGGTATGCCATATAAGGAATGACGAAAATAAATACTGGTGCAAGTATTCGAACCTGATTCGTATATCTGAAAATGAGGGGTGTCGCTGGAAAATAACGAATTTACAAGAGCACCCAGTAATCAGAGAACAAAAAGACTCACTTTGTAATGAAACTGACGATGAACGCTGCAATGAGACCAATGACTGCACCACCACAAGCCACCAGTAAGAATGACAATACACCGGCTGCATAGTCAATGGGTTCGAGATTCTCAGCACCGATTAATGTGAAGCTTTTGAACATTTGGTAGAGCACCTCAAAAAAAAAAAAGAAGTTGGACCTCATTTCAGACGTTGGCCCTTATTTCCTAGTTTTAAAGGAAATACTGCAAATGGAAAAATCCTCGTCCTTCCGATAGCTTTTTCACTTGCATGACATTACCCAGAGCCCTGTTTCAGTTGTCTTCCTGAAGACGACCGTTTTCTATTTTCATCCCCCCTATATTTTCATCCCCCCTCCCTTTCTGGGATTCTGGTTCAAGACTCTTCCTCTTGTCATTGCCCGGCCCGTGTAATTTGTAAACGGAACAGGTATTCGTATTCAGAGGTAAAAATATAGTACCGTAAGCCGTACAATTAAGTTTGTTTTTTCCTTTTATTTATTTGTTTATGTATCCAAAATGGCTTATATGCTCGCCATTTGTGTCTCGGATTGGGGGCATAGATAAATAAACAGTTAAGTGAATAATATTTATGCTAAGAGGAAGGATGTGATGCAGGAGAGAAATCTGAACATTCCGCACCTTTTTATGTTTATGGTGACATCACCATCTGCAGTGTTACCTAATGTTTTACTTACTATTTCCTCCTTTTCATATGGGTAGTTCAATCTTCAGTGAAATCTTCCCCAGTAAAAACTTAAAAAATGCGTAAATAAATATTGTCCCCGATATTATATCGTACGCATATGACACTCGTTATGACAAAGGATGGATTTTCGATGACATCATTTGTGAACCGGTTGGCCTGCTCTCTCACTACGATCATTTCGTACCCGACCATCCCGACCGTTGACTAGATTAAAATGATGATGATGATGATGATGATAATGATATCATTATCGACATTCATGACGGAACTTCATTGACGTGCCAACGAACCCCCGTGATATCGAAAGAGTTCTTAAAATTCCTTGAAAACCACCTACCACAGTCACACCGTCGTTGAATAGTGCTTCGCCGAATACGTTCACAAAAATGAACTCATTCACATTGATTTCTTCAAAGACTGCGATTACTGCCACCTGAATGTGAAAGAATAAATTTCCAAACGCATAATTTTTTTTCTGATGGAAAAGGACTACTGAGTATTAACTACTGGGTATTAAACGATCTGATATTTGCTTTCATGCATTTATTTTTTTATCAGAATTTATATTTTTGCCAGGTCCTATTAAAATGTTGTTAAACGGGAAAATCCTGAAACAGGGTGAACAGCCTCCTGCGCGTACGAGTGAACAGAGAACGGATTGAGCGCATCTTTAAATCTGGACGGCATTCATATGCATGGCGTACACTGGAAAAATTCGCTTGCGACAGCTTTCTACCACGCTTCTAGTCATCATAATTGCTGAACTCTTCATTTTTGGTTCCATAAAACAATTTTTCCGGAGGATTATATGGGTGGATTACGGTAGCTAATTTCCCTAAGACGTCGTTCGCCTTGGCCGCATTTCGTCTTCTACTACACCTGGACCTTCGTCCTATGGCTCAATATTTATCGCAGTACTGAACACACCGAGTGTTTTACACTTAAGTACGAAAAAATGCATCAGATACCGAAGTATCACCCTATCTGCTCATTCGATCATTAATGTCATTCGGTACTGTATTTTTGTACACTAAAGGCCGTTATTAGCCGTAACCTACCGGATCAACAGCGGAAATAAGTGCAGAAAATACAAAAATTTCCGTGGTAGAAAATTCCATAGAGAAAATACCGTAACTGGAAAGTACCAGTAGTGAAGCTCCTGAAAAATGTACGTTTATGCCTTAGTCCCTAAAATCTGACAAAGTTTCGGTCTTTAAATTTAGCGTACGAGATTCGTGCCATGATTAATGACCGTATAGGGTGGTGTTCTACATTTGAGGGAAAGCGAAAGATCCACAGCGACTTGGTCATCGGCCTTTCTCCAAAATTC